CTAAAAGCAGAGGAGTGTCGATCATGGTGAGCCACACCTTGGCCTTTGACCTAGTAACAACCCAGATAGATCCGCAAGGAAGGTATATCATTCTCATCTGCACGCTAAACAACAACACATACACAATAGTCAACTCTTACTTCCCAAACGAGAACCAACCCCAATATATGACCACGCTACTAGATAAGATCGAGAAAATACAGATGGGCACCCTAGTTCTCTGCGGGGACTTTAACCATATCCTCGACCCTGTTGCAGACTCCACAGCCACACACACACACAAGAGGAAAAAGGCCCTACGCAAACAATGCATCTCTCTGCACAAAATACTAGCATCATATGGGCTTTACGACGCTTGGAGAACCCTTCACCCAACGGACAGGGAATACACCCATCACTCACAAGTGCACAACACATATTCCCGCATAGATGGCTACCTAATACACAGCTCACAGCTACAACGGATCAAATCCTGTGAGATAGAAGCCTCTACAATCTCTGACCATAACCCAGTGTCTCTCGCCCTGATCGATTCCTACATATACCAACATCGCAGCCCTTGGAGGCTGAACGAACACTTACTGAGCGATGTAGACTTTACCAACAAAATACGAGAAGAAATACAACAATACTTCCAAGCCAATGGCTCCGGCGAGGTAAACCCAGCCACACTGTGGCTCGCGCACAAGCCGGTCATCAGAGGGCTATTACTCAGCCGAGCGTCCTACCTCAAGAAAACAACACATACTGCATTGCTGAACCTTCTCAAACGGATCCAAGACCTCCATAGAGAAAACCAACTACACCCCTCCAAGAGCCTTCAACAGAAATTGCAAACAGCGCAAGACGAAGTTAAAGCAATTCATCTCAAGAAAGCCAACATAGCATTAAAAAAACTCAAAGCAACTTCCTACTCAATGGGAAACAAAGCAATGAAAGTATTGGCACAGCGACTCCGGATGAAGCAGGCACAAGCCCGCATCCCATTCATAAACTCACACACCGGGGCCAAGATAATACAACCCGCACAAATCTGCAATGAGTTCGCACATTATTATACCACCTTATACAACCTGAAAGATCAGCACTCCCTGGCCCAACCCACGTCCACAACAATTCGCAACTACCTGGCACAGATTGCCCTCCCCAAACTCCCTGAACAGCACGCAGCACAACTATCAGCACCAATCACCACAGACGAAGTGCTCACCCTGATAGACAAAATGCCGAAAAATAAAGCCCCAGGCCCGGACGGCTACACTAACGCTTATTACATGGCCTTCAAGGCAGAAATTGCCCCAGACCTCACATGCTTCTTCAATGAAGCCACCCGACTGGGTACCTTTCCCACCGAGTTCTTAGCGGCACATGTTATCACTATCCCCAAACCAGGGAAACCCTCGACCACATGCCAAAACTTCAGGCCAATCTCTCTCCTGAATGCAGACGCAAAGCTATATGCCAAAATCTACGCAGAACGACTCAAGACCATACTACCAACACTAATTCATACAGACCAGGTGGGATTCGTAGCAGGAAGGCAAGGGTCGGATAACACCAGGAAAGTACTAGACTTATACAACATATTGAAAAACACCAAACAAACGAGCGTCATGCTATCCCTAGACGCCGAGAAGGCGTTCGATCGCCTGAACTGGCAATTCCTCCAGGAAACCCTACAGGCCTACGGATTCCCAGCACCCTTCCTCTCTGCAGTCAGTGCCCTATACAGTGATCCCAGGGCGACGGTACTCACCTCAGGATTTAGTTCACAGGCCTTCCCCATTACCAACGGAACACGACAAGGTTGCCCACTGTCCCCTCTCCTTTATGTGCTAGCCTTAGAACCCCTGGCAATAGCAATCCGATCCAACGATTCCATTCGAGGTGTACTAGTGGGCCAAACAGAATATAAATTAAGCCTATTTGCCGATGACATCCTCCTCACACTCACACAACCACTTATAACACTCCCCTCCCTACACAAAGAAATACATGCATATAGTCAACAATCTTATTACAAGCTCAACGTGGCTAAAACACAGGCAATGTGCCTCAACACACCAAAACACATAGAAACACTCCTGAGATCCGGCCATTGCTTTGATTGGAGAGAAGACTACTTGGTGTACCTAGGGATCAAAATAACCCACAGAGAAAAGGAACTATTCCCTACCAACTACGTAAAGCTGCACAAAGATATAGACACCCAGCTGCAAACGTGGAGGGGCCTGTACCTATCATGGGTCGGAAGAATAGCAGCACTGAAAATGACAATTCTACCTAAAATTCTCTACCTCTTCCGGACACTACAAATCAAAATCCCACAAAGCTACCTCACAAAATTACAGGCTACCCTCCTCAGATTCAGCTGGGGCGGCAAACACCCCCGAGTCCCCAAATCACTTCTGTTGAGAAATGCGAAACATGGAGGTATGGGCCTCCCTAATCTCAAAGCGTATTATCACTCAGCCATCCTTGCGAATGTAGTCAGTGTTCACTCGGCCAAGTACATCCCCCAATGGGTAGAGGTAGAAAATAAGTACAGTGAGAACCAGGACCTGCCTACAATGCTCTGGATACCCCGGCACTTGCGACAGCAACCTACAACCATGCTGAACACCACCAAACACCTTCTCACAATATGGGACACCTACAGGGACCAACTGTGCTCCGCACACCCGTGGGCCCTGGCAACTCCAATTCGGACCCTGCACCAATGCAATGGCTTGTTTCCACATCATAAATGGGCAGAAAAAGGAATTACACATGTCTACCAACTGTGCACCAAGGCAGGACTCAAATCGTTCCCAGACCTACAGAAAGAATTTGCCCTCCCCCCAAGCTACACATTCGCTTATCTACAAATCAAAGCGCTAATAACCCACAACGTAATCAAAGACATGGAACACTCACTGAGATCGTCCATAACGAAATTTGAAGCACAATGCCTCTCTCTAGATCCTCCAAGGAAAACAGTTTCCACCTGTTACGACCACCTTGCCAACCCTAAAAACAGCGACACATGGAAGTTTATGCAGGATTGGCAGACAGACCTCCAGGTCACAATACCCCCAAACGAATGGGAAAAGATTTTCACATCTCATATAGGGCTCACAACAAGTACAGCACACCTGGAAGCATCCAGGAAAATCCTTTACCGATGGTACATGGTACCGACCCGACTGCACACCATATTTCCCAACACTTCAGACCTATGCTGGCGCTGCCACGCAACTAAAGGAACTATGATGCATATGTGGTGGACATGCGATAGTGTGCAAGATCTTTGGAAAGCTACCGTCCGACTTGTAAGAAGTGTCACGAATCTCCACTTAGCTCTCGACCCTAAAACAATCCTACTCCGATTGCTCCCAGACGACTTTCCAAAACCGATCAAGAAATTGATATACATCATACTGGGCACGGTGTCCATATTAATAGCCAGGAAGTGGAAAACAGCGGACTTGCCCTCCATCCGAGAAGTTGAAACAGAAGTAACACTGGCAATGGAGTACGAACTCATCATGTGGAAGCAGGCAAAAATCGGGAAACTGAGCCCCTACACCGCCACAATATGGCGAAACTACACACAACAGCTCACACAACACCAACACAGCCATTAACGAGCCCGCAAAGAGGCCACAGCACTGGCTACCAAAACGACACCACCCTTTAAACCAACACCGATCACCCGACACACTTACCAACCCACCCTGTGACATAGAGGTCACGATCCTAGGACCCACCAACAGCCGCAAACCGGTACCACGCTGCTACTCCCCCCCACCTGTTACTCGCCCCCAATACACGGGGACCCCCCACTCTCACCTTACACCCTCAACACACCGCAGGCACCCTGCCCACAACGACACCCTTCCCCCCCTGGAGACAGGGGACCTCGAACAATAATGAAATAAACCATATTCGCAAAACTTAGTATAACGACAATTCACGTAACTAAATGAGCAAACTCCCCATCCGACAGAAGACCCCCCCATGAGCATCACCTACTGAAATACCACGATATCAGGGTAATACTAAGTAAGGAAGGTCAAATTGTGTCAGGGAGCTACCCCCTCCCCTCCCTCCTATTCGTTCCCCCCCTTAATTACAACTGTATGTCGAAAAATGTATAGCAATTGTACGACCCCACTATGTACATTTGAAGTTTCCCCTTCTTTTCTGTACCCCATTTCCTTGTCTTTATGAAAATAAAATTTCAAATTGGAAAGAAAGATGCATTAGTGGGCGGTAGGAAGAAAAAGGTTGACTACCACTGTGTTAGAGTAATATAGATTAGATCAGGTTGTTAGTTAAAGTGATACACCATAGCAAAAATTGTGAGTACAAGAAGTGACTTGACATGACTGGCTACATGCTGGGTTGGCACATCTTCCTATCAAATTAACAATCTAAGAGGATGCATTTTTCATTATGTATATAGCAAGCTTTACCAAATAGCTATGTAGTCAGATTGTAGTTATGCAGTCGATGACTAACAGTCCTACGGTACTTTTACTAGGGTATCTGTTATAAGAGGCAAGTGCTTATTTGCCTAGGCATAGTGCTCAGGCTAAACAGTGGGGCTAGACATGTAGTCTGAGGCTGCATCAGTATATAGGGAGATGCCTAGAGCTGCAGTGTGGCTGACTAAGCGTTGGAACACATTTAAGCAAGACAATAAAGGGTTGCTGACATACTGCACAGCGCATAGGAAACAACGGGGGGGGGGAAATCACCATATGGCTCTCAGTGTTCAGTGTCCAGTGCAGCCGGTGGCCATCCGCCTCAGGTAATCAGTCTGGTGTTTGCTTTAGCCGATACCCATGTCAGGAATGCTTTTGGCTTCTCCAGAGTTAAGGTGCGGTATGGGCAGCACTCACTCGGCTTCGGGTCGGTTCAAGGGCTTGCGACTTCGGGCTCCATGATCCAAGTCCCGTTTGCCACGTGGGTGGTGGAGGGTCTTGTTGTGTGTTCGTCGCTTGCAGCGGATTTTTTTATGCCCACGTGTTGTTCACTGCGTTAAGCGCCCCTGTGGTCCTCGGCTTGCATGGGCTGGTCATTGGCTTGGTAGTTTTCGTGGTAGGTTTTGCGCCTGTTTGGTAGCATTCAGTGTTTGGGCTTAGGCCCCTCTGGGTTTCCCTTTGTCTCGGTCGCTGTGTGGGTAGCGCTCGCCTCTCCAGCTTGGCCCAGAATTGGGCAAATAGCTTGTCAATGCGTTGGAGTATTTGCTCCATGTGGTTCGTTGCTGTGTGCGAGGCTTGTGAATCCGCCATCTTGGGCGCCCCAGGGGATCGTGGCTGCCGATGGTCTGAGTCAGCCTGTTGTTCAGTGTGGCAGGTGTTCGTTTCCCGGGTACTTCGTACTCGCCTGGTAGGACAGGGATGACCCCCGCTGGTCCAAGGGTGGGGGGGACCTCTTTAGCCGAGTGTCACTTGCAGTTAAAGCTGTGGGAGAGCGTCTGTCTCTCCTTGGCCCTGTTACTGGCAGGCCGCAAAGCCTCGAGTCGGATTTGCAAGCGGAGGAGAGGCCAGCAAGAGGTATCCCCTTGACCGGCGGCACGTCAGGATCAGGTTGGGTAAGGTTTTGTAGCCCAATAGGATTTTAGCTCGATTTTGCCGTCGAGTTTGATGTGCCAGACAAAGGAGCTCATGCAGCACACGTCTGGACCGCTCCGTAGTCAGGCTCCGCCCCCCCCCGTCCTCCCGCTTTCTCAAACTCAATCTCTCTAAATCTGACCTCCTTGTCTTTCCTCCTCCTAATACTGATCCTCCTCTTTCGCTTCAAGTTAGTGGTATCCTTGCAAGCGCACTGTCTTGGCATCATACTTGACTCTGGCCTCACCTTTGAGCCTCACATCCAGTATGTTGCCAAATCCTGTAGATTCCATATTAAAAACATAGCACGCATCTTTCTTACGCAAGATGCTACTAAGGAGCTTGTCCATGCTCTAGTAATTTCCCACATGGATTATTGTAACCCTCTCCTAATTGGTCTTCCCAAAAGCCGTATTGCCCCGCTACAGTCTGTTATGAATGCTGCCGCCAGACTGATTTCCCTCTCTAGTCGGTACTCCCACACCTCACCCCTCTGTCAGTCCTTACATTGGCTTCCTCTATCCTATAGAAGACAATTCATACCTATAAAGCATTGACCAATTTTAACCCCTCTTATATCTCTTCACAGATACATAGGAATGCCCCTTCTCTGTCTCTTTGCTCTGCTGTGACCTTCTCCTGTCCACTGCTCACACCCTTATGGCCAACTCACGTTTACAGGACTTCTCACGGCCGGCTCCCTTCCTATGAAATAGCCTGCCCACCTCCATCAAACTCACCCCTAGTCTTTAATTGTTTAAGAAGTGTCTTAAAACCAATCTCTACAGGAAAGCTTATGGCCTCCCAGAGTAACCTCTACCTTACATACCTGTCTCTTGCTCTCTTCTAAAGGGCAGCTTCACTCCCACCTTATTTGATTGCTATTTCCTGTCCTAATGTGTTTTATACCCCACCTCCTATAGAATGTAAGCTCGTTTGAGCAGGGTCCTCTTTAACCTATCGTTTCTGTAAGTTTTGTTGTAACTGTCCTATTTATAGTTAAATTCCCCCCTCTTATAATATTGTAAAGCTCTACGGAATATGTTGGCGCAATATAAATGGAAATAATAATAATATTAATAATAATAATAATGACGTAATCACCTCAACTTTGCATTTATATTTTCTTTGTTTTTCATTGGAGCATATTAGCATTGACAACCTAGTTCTTATAAGTGGCTTTTCCATTGACAGCTGTTAGTAAACATGTAAGCTCATCTGGGCAGGGTCCTCATCAACCTATTGTTCCTGTAATATTTTGTAATTGTCTCATTTATTGCTAAATCTCCCCCTCTTAAAATATTGTAAAGCTCTCCGGAATATGTTGGCGCTATATAAATACCATGATAATACTAATAATATCAGGCCTTGCAGCCTCGGCACAGGCACTTGTGGTGTACCACTTCTAAAAAACTAAGGGGTTTTGGTGCTTCTCACATCATCCTTTGAGTCAAAACAAATGAAAAGGCACTATTCCCGCTATTAAAATACATGGAAAAGGGAAAAAGAAATGTCTGGACTTTGTGGCTGGGCCTACAGTTCCCAAACAGAAAGTCCAGCAGTGTAAATAGTATAGGATAATGGGGAATCTTTACGTTTGGAATAATATCGTTGGGGATTCTGTTATGACAGCAGAATTGATCTAGTGGTTGAACAAAAGTGTACGTAGTAATTAGTCTCTGCCTCTCACTCAACAGCTCATTACTCATCTAATAAATCCCGTGTCATGTCTCTGAAACCTTGGGTAGCAGCAGCAAAGTCGAGTTTCTGTGCCAAACTGTATATCAGCCAGCATTTATTTGACAGTTCGTTACAAGAAAATTCAGCTTTGTTGGAGCCACAATCCAGGTTTATGTGTCTCCTTGTGAAAAAAAGAAGAAAAAAAAAAAAGTTAAAATGAGACCACGCTTTCTGCACAGCTGCTTGAAACAGTTTGTATTGTGTCAACAATGTAATTGTATATCTCTAAGAATTGATTTAAAACATGTGCCAGGAAAGAAAAGCTTAAAATATCACTGAATATGTACAATCGTGACGAATAAAAAAAATGGAATCAATCACATGAGTGAGAATAGTGAGGAATACGGGGACCGTGACACGTTTTATTATGGTTTGGTGCCTGAATTCACACTATAAAGTAGAGGTAGGACATAGATGACATGGTAAACCATTGACACTACATGTCATTTTTGTAGATTCGGCTTTATAATAGATGCCATCTGGTTAAGGTCTAGGAATAGAGAGAAGGTGGTAAAATGTGCTGCCCTGTTGGGTGAAGCATTGGATCTGAGGATGATGTTAGAAAGTTTTGTGATTGATACTTTGGTAATCATGTACTTACATTTTAAATATATTTTTTGCTTGCGTAAATCCAAGATTGGGATAGAGGGAATAGGAGAAAGTTTAAAACAATATGACATCACATTGTTAGGCCTATGTGAAACATAATATTCCTATAAAATTATACATATTTCATATACCAATAGATACTAAGTACTGGAGTAAGTCATAGTCCAGTGTCAGTAACCGATTAATATTTTTTTCTGAATTTCAGAATTATCTTATATATAATATACATCATTCTTTAATGAGAAACTAATATACAGGAATACTGTAGTTACTATAACCATTTCATCTCTTCCAAATGGTTATACTGCCTGGAGTCCCCTGGCACTGTCCCTCCATTCAGTGTCAAACCATTTTAGAGGAATTTAACACTAAATAAGGATCTATATCCAACCACAGTCTGACCCCTTCTGGAGGTGTGGCTAAGGCAGATATTTCACACTTCCTTGTAGTCATACCCATTCATACCATCAGTTGGAGCTTTGATAGGCTTAAAGCCGTCAGATGACACTCTCAGCCAATCACAGCTGTTCATTGCTGCTCAGGCTAATACTTCCTCATTAGTTCAAGCAGCTCAAATAGGAGGGGACTGTATTTAGAATAAAACATAAAAAAATCAAAACACTGTTTAATGCTAAATGAAATGATGGCACCAGGGGGATGCAGACATTATAACAAGTTTAATGAGATGAAGCAGATACAGTGTCCCTTTAATTATGTTAAACTAGTATTGTATGTATGTTAGAAAACATTCTCAAGGGCTGTAAAAATTTAATCTGTTTCTTGCATAAATATTAAACTATGTGTTTTAGATCAATCTTTTTTCTATATGTCTATCCTTGTATTCATCTATTTGTCCCTCTGTCATTCTGTCTATCTTTTATTCATCCTTCCATCTATCCATTTATTTAACTGACTGTCCATGTATCCATCCATCTAGCCTTCCTTTTATCCATCTGCCTTAGAAACAGAACAGGCTCTGTATCTCTTCTCATAATTAGCTGTCAATAAGACCGGGGCTGTATAAGCTGCAGTGCATATGGAAAATGAGTAATTTGTTTCTGTGAAAAGAGAAAGCTAGTACATGTTACTTATAAATACTCTGTCAGGAAATACAAACACCGTTGGGTTATTCATTATGTATGTCTAATATTGAATGAATGGGTTTTGTTACCAGCTATGCAAATTGGCGTCCGTAGAGGTAAAACACAACATGCATTTCTTAACCCACCATTCAGCACTGTGACTGGATTGCATAAACCATACTACACTGAATGAGTCAGATATTGACATTATGTAATATGGGACCATATTGTAGCTTCCTATACTCGGTAATTGGGGATGACAGGCAATGAGGGTAGAGGGGCAGTTCATGTATTGAAAGGATTTTGGGATGCTACCACACAGTACAATACTAAACAATATTATCAATATTATGCAACTACTCTCTTTCATTATTATTTCAAGTTCTTGCAGTGTTAGTATAAAGCTTTTTTTTTTTTTTTTTCAATTTGACAATTTTTATTTTGTCATATTTAAGTGGGTAGGGGTACAGAAAGTAGAAAAAAAGGGGGGGGGGGGGAAAAGGTCCCCTTCAAATTACAGTTATACAGTAATGCTTTTCATTAGATCGGTCATTGACATAACAATCATGGTATTGCACTTGAACATAATTCCTTCATAATAAACAGGTCTTTGCGGTGCAGGATTGTATACCAAGGCCGTCTACTAACAGTTGTTCATGAAGTCCTTTAAGGGACATCTCTGCCGTCATCTATTGTTGCGCTAACATGGTTCCTGCATCATGTGGCGATCCCTTGCCGTAGCGCTTATACCTGTGTCAGGTTGTGCCGTGTGCATGTGTAGCGTCTTCCCTCCTGCCTTAGTGGTTCCCCTACCTCCAGGCCGTTAAGAGCTGGTTTAGTGTCCCTTTGAGTGTTCCAGAGAACTTTGCGCCTCTAAGGGTACCCTGTCCTTTGTTCTGTTCCCTGCTCGGGAGCTGTATGGCCCGTTTCTCTCTTGGGGGGGGGGAGTGGAAGGTTGGCTCGTTCATTAGTCTGTGTCCCACTGTGCCTGTGATGACGGGAGTGGTGTGCCCCTGTTGTCTACCTGTCGAAGAGGCATTCTGGAGGGGGGTAACTGGGATAACATACTAACTAACTCGTGTGTCTTCGTTGGTTTGGTTTATGTTGTCTGTTCGGATCTATTTTGTCCTGTTCGTTGGCCCCTCGTCAGTTGCTAGGGTCTCTGCCTGCTGTGTACTTGGCCCAGAGTGTTTTCGCTGTGGCGTTTCTTTTACCCACTTTTGTTTGGCTCCACATTATTCCTTCATA